TTTAGTGAGTACGTTCGTCTGTCCGTCAGTCAGTCAACGGGCACTTAATGCTTGCATGGAGTTCAACTGTTAAATCATGTATTGCAATAATTATATTTTTTTTTATATCAGCTTAAAACATACATTAATATATATAACTCTGAATAGGCATACATGATGTCCTGTTAAAATATCAGAATCTCCACGCGTGATTTAAATACGCATTTCCCATTTAAATATTGCTTGAAAATCAATTTTGTTGGCATTGATATCAATTGAAAATCATAAGGGTCTGCTTGAATATCAGACTTGAATATGGATACAGTATCAACTTAAATGTTACTTGAATGTTGTTAAAGTGTCAACTTAAATGTCACTTTAATTTCATAGTGTCAATTTAAATGTCACTTTGATATCATACAAATCATTATTATGCCAATATGACATTTGAACTGGAGTCATGGTCTTTGGGGTATCCATATCTATTCCATTAGTGAGACTTGGACATTGTTTAACAGTAGCCAGGAACACTCCTTTGACTGTTACATGCATTTCTTGCAGACGTATTTCTGGAAAAAATCCATTTCAAACTAATATTAATAAAGTATTGTATTTTAAACAAAATTGCAAGATGTCAGTGTCTGTTTATGAGAATTTTGTTGTTGTTTTTAATTAGTGAATAAAAAAAGAAAAAGGATACTTACCTTAATTATCAATGTTTTTGCACAGCAAGTTATATTGGTTCGATTTGCTTGTTTTAATTATTTGAAATCAGATGTTCCCCCATTTAATCGAATAATCAAATTAGGCTGGTTTGATTGAATAAGAGGATTAGCCTGGAATAATACTGCTAAATTAGTTTCAAGCTGTGAGAATCAGGAAATGGAAAGGGAAAAAAATGTGATACAGCTTTTAAAAAGTGGACATCAATATTTTAAACTTACCATTCAATTCTTTTCATCTGAGTACATGTAACTACACCATTTATTTTGAACGCTTCAAAAGTGCATGTGTTCGGCATTCTATGAACGGTGGAAGTTTACAGTGGTAATCAATATATATGATATTGTTTATCTGTATTTTATTTACTAGTACGTGGATCAGCGAAATATTGATCTTTGGTGATGCGATATCTTGTTATATTATGTCAATTTGTGGATTTGATACCTGTATGAAGTCAAGTTAATCCGACTTTGGGACATTCTTTCACTAGGTTCTTGTCTCTAAGGGGGATAAGGCACTTTGAGTTTCAGATTTTATTGAGGTATATAATCATAATGTTCATGTTTTAAACTTTATTTGTTTGTTTATTTTTTGTTTATTTGTTTTTCTTTCTTTTGCAATTTTATTTATCTTGATAGTTAAAAGTTAAAAATGTAATGTAATTTTGTAATTTTCAATTTTTTTTTTTTTTACTTTAATCCTGGCCTTTATTATATCTTATTATTTTTTTTTCACATCAGTTGTTGATTTTAATTTTTGCTTTGCACATTTTATAAAGTAATTTATTGTTCTTTTTTACATTAAAGTGGCACTGCTGCAGTTTATTCTGTTTTAAATTGCAAAAGATTTGGAATATCAAAATCTTAATTCAAATGTTGAGTTTCAAGTGATACTAATTAAACAACCTTCTTATCCAACAAAAATTATGTATAGATTTGCTATTTCAGAGCTGTGAGTCCATGATGATTGCTTTTAAATGTCAAAATTAAGAATCGTTTTGTGAAACTCATGTTTTCACTATATTTAAAGTTCTAAAATTCTCACCATGTTTAAAGTGTATCAAGCTATATATCAGCTGCAAAAGACATTGTCAATTTTGAAAAAGAACACTTTCAAATGCTTGTACAAAATAAATATGATAGTTTAAATTGCCTTAAAAAGTGAATGGCACATGCACTGAGAATCATTGCTAAACGGATAAAATCCTACTTAAAATGGCAAAATGATATTTTGTTCCGAAACATTTTATTCTGTTTATGTACATTATCCATGTGTATTAATAAACAAAGACATTCTATGTTACAACTTTTTCGGGAAAACCATACAATAATGGAACCAATATAATTTTACTGTTGATAGATTTTATTAAAATATTACATACAATATAGATTTATACCCTTCAAGTTTTGAATGGAGAGTTTTTAGCCTCAAGCCCTTTGCTTTCGCTGCATAGAGCCAGTCCAGTCTGCACTTTGGTCCAGTCTGAGCCTGCTCGAAAAACTGTTGGAAGAAATGACCTTTAAATCTTCATCTTTTCTTAAAGTAAATGCTAAAGGACTCTCCTAAAATTGGATGCTGGACCAGTCCATTATATAAATTCAACAGATTTAATACAGATTATATATTTAAACAGTCAATAAAAATCGGTTCAAGTCGGTTCAGACTGCACGTGTCACCTTGTCCAGGTTGACCTTTAAGCTGGCACAACAAAACTGATGGTATATAATGAGGCGAGTGATATTAAATCCCCATTTGCTGTTTGACCTATACATTATACCGTAAAATCCTGATTTAACGCCCCCGGGGCGCCTCCGTGGTCGAGGGGTTAGAGTCGATGACTTCTAATCTAGTTACCTCTCTGGCGTGGGTTCGATCCCCGGGAGATGCTTTGGTAGTTTAGCGCGGAGGAAGGTAGTCTAGTACTGGTGTAACTCTCCAGGAACGATGGTTAGGAAACTACCCGCCTATATGACTGAAATACTGTTGAAAAAGGCGTAAAATGAAACAAACAAACAAACAAACAAAAGGGGAGCGTTTAATAAAGATATAAAAAAAAAGATTAAACAAAAAAATCTCAATTTTTTTTTTTTTTTTTGGAGTTAAAAAGACCAAAGAAATTTTTTAAGAATTTTACCAGCTTTCTGTTTCAAGTGTACCGATTAGGTTCGTTATCATTTTTGCAGTGTCATTCTTCTGTGTATATGTGTATAATTTTGTTGTTGAAAGAATGATCAGTCACTTGAATTACAAGTGGATTAGATTAGAAAAAATAGATTTGTGAAATTTTTTAGGCTTTAGTCTTTTAGCCTTAGTTAATTTTGCTAGAAAATCAAACTTTGATGATTGTTTATTAATATATTATGATAAATAAATCGAAAGGAATTTGTTTGACATGTTAAATTGTCAATTTGAAACATTTATAATCCAACCGCCTTGTGATATGCATGCACAGTTCACATAAGTTGATTTTTTTTCCCCGTTACGTCCATGATAAGAGAATGTTAAATAATGAAGAACTGTTTAATCGGACTCACTGAATTTGCTCACTTGTCATTTTCTAAATTTAAGAAGTTGGGCTATATATATATATTGTAAAAAAGGTGGGTGTGGATATGTATGGCATTGTTTGTTTTAAAATAATACGTTTAACAACTTTTGATAAAGCACGCTCTGTTGGTAGATATACATGTATATCATATTATAAGGAATATACCATGCATGGCAGGTAAATGGAAGTGTTTGAGTAATTATGCTGTTTATTGATATATATAAGCAAACAATTTCTCAGTACATAATTATATAGAACGAGTTTTCATTGCATTCATTTCTTTAAAACAACAGGTAAAATTTTAGTTCTGACTCTTCAAAATAGGATTATAATAGTGCTTCTTGTTGTGCTTTACATTTAAAGGTCAGACTTTTGCAGAAATACGAACATTTTGTAACATTTTCAGTTTTGGTAGAAAGACTGTGAGTTTAAATGATGCATGATCAGTTTCTGATTGAAGACCCGTATCATATGACTTTTGAGCATTAAATCCTAATAGCAAAAAGTAAATGCGTATTATTGACTTTTTTGAGCATTAAATCTCTAGCAAATTTTACATAAAACATAAGGTGAAAACAGAACATCTAAACAACAATTAATGTATGTGTGACTCCATTTTGTGCAAAATGACCTAAAAAATGAATGTGTTATAATGGACTCACAATTCAGACTTAAAGGGATCGCACTTACTTATTATTGATTTTCAGTTTAAATCTGAGACTTAGTATATATTTCTGTATTATCTCTTTGATATTTTTCCGTTAAGTTATCCAGTTGTTGATGCACCAGTATAAAAGATTGAGAGATTTTATGTTTTTAGGCTTTAATGGATGTCTGAATGGATTGGAGTTCATTTAATGTGTCCCAAAATAGCATGGATTTTTTCCAGTGAATTATTATAGTACCAGACATTCGGAAAAGTATTTTGACATTACTGGACATTTGGTCCAGCAATCTTGGAAGAATCACTGGACCGAATCAGTTTTCCATGGACCGAATGGAAATCATAATAAAGACACTTTAAATATTTTACCTTCAAAATAGTGTAAAACACTCATTTCTATAGTCGGGGAAACACTATTGTATCTGTTCCTCACTCCAGGAACCAACCTGTACTGAGAAATTGGTCTAAATTTGCCTACTCAACCAAAAAAAGGATTCCCATTAAATGACAGGGTTTGATCCTTTCATAATTATGTTGTTGGAAGCCACGTCGAATAAAAAATTTTACAAACTTTTGGAACTTGTTAAATTACACAGTATCAATTATATTTGTTTTTTTTTTCTGGTTTTTGAAGATATTTTAACATTTTTTTTCTTGGGAAATATAGTTATTCTGTTTGTCTATCCACCAAACTGGATTTTAAAACCGGATAACTAACCAGTTAAATAACCAATTTCTCTACAAGTGGCTGGCTTAAGGTCCAACTTGATTTCTGAACCGGTTGTGAGAGACAAATAACCTTTGTAGGCCGTGCCCAAGATAATTTTTATTGAGAAATTTTCACCTGGCCGAAGGATCGAAGTATGGACTCCTGGATTACTAATCCAAAGATTTCCATATTTAATTAAGCAGTGTCAACTATATAAAAAATATAAAAAAATATTTGAATCGTGTTTTAATGCCACAAAGGTAATATCTGTCATTACCACTTGTGACCCCCCACTTACCCATAAATAATGTTTCTTAAATTTCAGTCAAATTTTAATAGAATTCCTAAAACATTTCAATTATTTTCCTTTATTTCAGGTGGTCGTTGATAAGTATGGAAGATCAGCATATCTAAAGTCCAAAACCCAAGCAGCGAGAAAAATCAGCAGATTAGGTAATTATTTACATCTTGTCAAGTTAACACAGCAGATTAGGGGGCGTCCGTGTCTGAGTGGTTAAGGTCGTTGACTTCAAACCACTTGCCCCTCACCTCTTTGGGCTCGAATCCCAACAGGGACTTTGGATTCTTTCATGTGAGGAAGCTATCCGGCTAGCTTACCTTACATCGGTGGTTCTACTCAGGTGCCCGTTCTTGCCTGAAATAATGCACGGAAGGGCACCTGAGGTCTTCCTCCACCAGTAATTAGCTGGAACGTCGCCAAATGACCTATACTGTGTTGGTGTGACGTAAAACCCAAAACAAACTAACAGCAGATTAGGTAATTAGCTACATCTTGCCAATTAAAAACACAGCAGATTTGGTAATTAGCTACACTTTGTCAATTTAACACAGCAGATAAAATAATGAAAAACATTTGTATATATTTATATATTTTTTTCTCAGGTCTTGTGTTAGAGGGTAAATAAAATGTGCGAACTTATCTCCTAGATTAAGACCACCCTATTGAAAATTGCTGGGATATCTGTGAAAAACATATATACCATTAACTGAATATAAAAGATTCTTCACAGCAAGGTGAAAGTTATGTAATTTACAAGACACTTGTACCCCACTGGCATACAAAATAAATTGGTACATGGCAAGTCAAAGGACACTAATCAGGGTCTTTTGATAAATTCCTAAATTCCTATCACATAGATTAAATCCCCATTTGGAGGTATTGCCATGTATTGAAGAAAAGATTAATTTCAATTTTAGAACTGTGAATAAAGGTTTACAGCACAGAGATCAAAATATGATAAAGCTGGTGGCATGTCTGTATCAAAATTTGAAGCAGATAAGTTAAGAAGTTATGTGAAACAGCTAGAGGGAAAGGACGGACGGGTTGTTGGGGGGGGGGGGGGGGGGGGGGGGGGGGGGTTGGTTGTTTTGATTTTCTTACATTTACAGGGGGGAGAGGGGTCACATTGTGTCATTAAACACTTTTTAAATTCAGTTTTTACCCCTGGTACTTTTGGTGCTTTATTGATAGACTAATTGAAAAAATAATGAGAGGGGGGGTGTTGGCAGAGGGGATCAGGGGAGGTTGAGTTATCCTCTATGTACTCTGGCTTGAGCTTGGGTTTTCATATCATATTCATATTTTCATTTTTCCAATGACTTGTTTGGTGCCAACTGTCAAAGCTTGATTTTTAACTTTTTTCACCTCCATTTGGAGAGTCAAAAATACATACAAAGCTACCAAAATGCTTAGTTTCGGGTAAAAACCGCCAAAATACTGCTCATTTCCTACACACTTACAAGAAAGAACTAAAATGACAGAGAAATATCAAAAGTTTCCATTACCTTCAAAACACCATGTCTGAATTATTAAAAAAAATTTACCGTGGCTATCATTCCTATATGTCCCCTGCCCCCTTAGGTCTAACTTCTGCACTGGAAAGCTTGATTTAATAATACCTGTCAATATGACCTAAACATTGAATGCATTACTTTACCTAAAACCTAACCAAAATAAAAAAAAAGGTTAAAGAATATAAACTGTTATTATCTTGGTTCTATAGATAGGTGAATTTACCATTGTCAAAGTTTTACAATTTGTGTAAGATCTATGGTTTGTACCATTAGCTTGTAAGTACACTGTATTTAACAATGGTTCAAATCAATTGATTTTTGTGTTATTTGGTTACTTGAAGTTTTGTCCTTTATTGTAGAACGTGTGCTTTAAATATTTATTTATGTGTCGAAGATATATTATTTGCATATTGTGTGCATAAAGAAGAATTCAAATGGGTGTTAAGTGTGTTTTCATAATCATCATTAATGCATTTTCTTGACAAATTAGATAAGAATTATACATTTAATTCGACCGATGTGGGTTTAAATATTCATGTACGTGGGTAAAGGAAAAAAAATATCGGAATATATAGTATGTGATATTGAAATATTGAACATGTTTTTAATTAGAGGATTAAAGTTTTATATTAACTGTGTGACGTGACTCTGTGGGACAGAGAGCTGATTTATGTACAGTCACCGTACCTGGATATTAGATATTTCACAGGTTTCTTCAGTGGTGAAATTACCACTAAATTTATATTCCTAAATGACTAGCTTGCAATATATATCAATTTTATTAAATTGTTAAAAGACGGGTTGTCCTGGGTGAAGCTGAAAATATGTTTGCTGTATATCTAATTAAGTTGCTTGCAAACTTAAAACTATTGTTAAGATTTTGTGTGAAGTTTTCGACATTACCTTAGTGTCCTTTTTCATCAATTGAAGTTTCTAGTCTCTTTAGGCCCAGAATATAATATTGTTTGTTCCCTTGTAACTCACAAAAATTTCTGCTACCCAAAAATTTAATGTTGTGGAATATTTTTTTTTATTAGCGAAAGATTCAGATCTTTAAATCAAGTGTCTTTTTTTGCCTTCTGTAATGAATAAAACCAATGGTTTGATTGTACCAAGTGAACAGTTGACTTATGGATGTACATGTAGAATTTCAATGGGTTTGTTAAAAGTTCCAGTATAAATTATGTTTTTGATTAAGATTACTTGTGTTATAAAAATGTTAAATTTGTACAACATACATTTTTTTATCCAAATAATTTGCCCAAAAAATATTTTGAACCATGCTGAATATTATATGTACAATGGACATTTGAGCCGCGTCATGACAAACCAACATAATGGGTTTTGATCAGCATGGATCCAGACCAGCCTGCGCATCCGCGCAGTCTGATCAGGATCCATACTGTTCGCTATCAGTTTCTCTACTTGTAATTGGGTTTGTAAGCAAACAGCATGGATCCTGATCAGACTGCGCAGATGCGCAGGCTGGTCTGGATCCATGCTGGTCGCAAACGCATTACGTTGGTTTTGTCATGACGCGGCTCATTTATTTACTATGTTAAAGTTGTACAACTGATAAATTTCCATGCTAAATTTGTATAATATTATTTACATTTGACCATGCTAAATCTGTTCAAAATATATAATTCACCAAGCTTAAATTTTACTGTAATTAAATATGTACATTGGACATAATACCATGCTGAATGTTTACAATGTACCAATTTTCCATGATAAATATGTACAATTGACATTTAACCATGCTAAATGTTTACAATGTACTAATTTTCCTTGCTAAATTTGTACAGTTGACATAATACTATGCTTAATGTTTACAATCTGTTAATTTTCCATGCGGACATTTCACTATGCTTAATGTTTACAATATGCTAATTTTCCATGCTAAGTATTTAAAGTGGACATTTCACTATGCTTAATGTTTACAATATGCTAATTTTCCATGCTAAGTATTTAAAGTGGACATTTCACTATGCTTAATGTTTACAATATGCTAATTTTCCATGCTAAGTATTTAAAGTGGACATTTCACTATGCTTAATGTTTACAATATGCTAATTTTCCATGCTAAGTATTTAAAGTGGACATTTCACTATGCTTAATGTTTACAATATGCTAATTTTTCATGCTAAGTATTTAAAGTGGACATTTCACTATGCTTAATGTTTACAATATGCTAATTTTTCATGCTAAATGGACTCTTCAGTCTTTGAATTTGAGACTCTCCATTGTTAATATATTTTATAAAAAATGCAAAATTTAAGGCAGCAACAATTATCTGATTAAACTTCTGAATCATGTTTTTGCGCCATGGCCAGGCTCGTAACTGTGGTATTGAAGGAAATTTTGTTGGTCATGATTGCCGCTTAACTTTCAAGTTATCAAAGCCACAAAAAATGCTCAACACATTCTACACTTGATAGGTATATATCATGAGATATTCCATATAGAATTGGTTTCTCATGAAAAAAATGTCAGTAATAACTTGATAGATCTAAATGTGTTCCAGTTGATTTCATTCTGTACATTATGTTTTCCCCTCTTTCATATGACATGAGATTTTTTTTTTTGGCGTTACGACTTCGTTAAAATGATAATTGATATGTTACAAATGAAGAAAAACCAATATGGAATTTAAGGATCAGATTCGTTTGTCCTTCAATACATACAATACTTACTTTTGTGACATACACTAATTACCTGATCACACTTAAATAATAATAAAAAAATTTACAAAACTTTGTTTACCACAAGAAAAAAAAAAGTGAAAATGATCTTTCTTTTCAAAGTGCAAAGATATAAAAAAAATTATTTTTTTTTTACCTATTGAAATGGTTTTATCTATATTGATACATTGAAAATGAATGTTTAAAGTGATTTATTATTAAATTGTTGGGAATTTAATATGGGAAAATCAGTCAAAATCCTTGAAGTTTTGTTAACTAGCTAAAATGAATTCTAATAGCTTTACTTCTCTGTTAGGGAAAATGACTTACTTACTAAAGACACATTGGTTATTGACGCTTAGATGAGCAAGCATGGCCCAGTGGTTAAGGTTATTCAGACTTTAAACCATTTGCTCTTCATGGCTCTGGGTTCAAATCCTGACTGGGACTTTGGAGTCATTTATGTGAGGTATTGATCCATGCAGGTAGATTACGGAATGTCAGTGGTTCTAGTTAGGTGCCCGTTCATGAAATAATGCATGGAAGGGCACCTGATGTCTATGTCCACCAGTTAAGCTGGAAAGTCACCATAATATTATGATCTATACTGTGTCATGGTGCTATGTAAAATCGAACAAACAAAACATAAAACAAAAAAGTGAAGCTGGATGATTTGTTAAAAATATTTAATGTTAAAAATGGGATGAGTTGTTACCTTTTGGGCATGCATGGCTGGGTGGTTATAGTTGTTGACTCTTGCCACACTGCCATTATTTGTTCAAATCCTGACTTTGGTTTCTAACAGGTAAGTTAGTTCTACTCGACTATTAGGCCTGAAAGATTGCATACTAAGGTTTTTCATGGCCAGTGACCACCTGCTTAGCTCAATAGGGAGACTGTGGAATTTCTAATCCAAGTGTTGCTGGTTTGATACTGGGGCAAGTCAAAATTGATCTTGGACAATTGAAGACTTGGACATTGACTTCTAACGATCCTTTGTCTCTTACCATTGCTATAGAAATTTTGTGGGCTTACATGTATAGGTGGACTCTCAAGCGAAGAATTTGATGATGACTACTTTATTAACGTGCTATAACTTCCTCTATAGTCTTGATCGGAATGGGTTGAAACTTCACACACTTGTTCTCTTAGATTATCAAATACATGATAGGCCCCATAACTCTTTGTGTTACCATTTAAAGAGTTATGCCCCTTGTCTTACCGTCAAGAACTGAGAATAGTCTAGCACGCTGTCCTAAAGACAGCTCTTGTTGTTTACCGAAAGTTTGATGAATAGCTTCGATCAGAAACCTGAGCTAATAGGATTAATTTAGATGACTGATGAGAAGATATTTGACTGAAATATTAAATGAGCCGTGTCATGACAAAACCAACATAATGGGTTTGCGACCAGCATGAATCACCTGCCAGTCTGATCAGGATCCATGCTGTTCGCTATCAGTTTTGATACTTGTTATAGGGTTGGTAAGCGAACAGCATGGATCCTGATCAGACTGCGCGGATGAGCAGGCTGGTCTGGATCCATGCTGGTCGCAAACGCATTACGTTGGTTTTGTCATGACGCGGCTCAAATAATGTCACAAGCTGGCTTTAGGCCCAAACCAAACAGAGAGGTACCTTGTAGAATACTTGCCAATATGTCTTTACATTTCCACCTCCTTACCCAAACATATGATCTAGAGCACGTAAACTGTCCTTTCATGTTGTTTATTTATAAGAAAAAGATTTATTTATAGTTCTGAATAGGTATTTACACTTGAATTCTTGTGTTACTGGATACTATAGATCGGAAAAAGTTGTCTGGGGTGCTTCAATCACTTTTGAATTAATTAGTTTATTGAAAGGAAAAATGAAAACGGGCTGAATATTACAATATTATGTACGAAATATATTACATTTCAGTATTTAACATAGACCTTGAGGAACAAAAACACTTTGGAAATGTTCCAGATCTGTTTGCTAAAATATTATTTAATGGCCGTAATGGGGTCTCTCACAAAAGTCAACTATTGATGACAATTGTTTAAATAAAAAATACTTGAACAATTGTGAATTCTTTATAGCTAGATGGATATCTTGTAACAGGTTTTTTCATCAAAGTTGCATAAAAATTATAATAAAATTCTGTCGAATAAAATGTAAATGATGGCCAAACATGCAATAGTCGTGTTTTGATGAAATTGACAATTGATATATTGTGCATGGCGCAATAAACTGTTTAATTCTTAATGATCAAAAGTGATTCATTGAAGAATTCAAAATTGTGTTATAATAATTGTTAAAAAAATGTGCAAGAATTCAGTATTTGTTTATCTTAATATTTAGCAACGGATACCATGGTGGAGATGTGATTTTCATTATTCCTTTTATGTTTTTCAGAAGATAAATATGTTGAAGAGGTAGATGATAAGGATCATCATAGAAAAACCACATCGACAAAATCTCATGAAAACAATGTCGGCCATTCTAGCAAAAAGAAACAAGCGGGACTTCAGTTACAGGAGAAGAAATACGAAAGGGAGGCTCAGCGGGGACATAAAACGGCGCACGGGTTAAAAACCGTGGGCGATAGACATGTAGAGTTTTCCGATCACGTTCGTTATAGAGAGAACCACGTTGGATTAGATAACGGATATATGGAATCAAACTTTCGTGATAATTTAATTAGTGATCAGTCTACTTTGACGACTTCGAGAGAAATTCGTGAAACGGAGATAAATTTTTTAAACAATAATTTAACACGAGACTATGACCCCCAACAAGGAAATGATATCGGTACCCGTTTGACGCATGTCAGTGTAAAGGTACCAGGCTCAACTAAAACAACAACTTCTAGCTATAACGGTGCAGGGACACATAAATCTGGGTCAAATAAAAAATCTCATTTCCTAGATCTTGTGTCGGAAAGTCCAGATATGGATGGACGTGGAACAGACTGTTCTCAGTCCGACAGCGAATCTGGTCGAGGTCGGAGGTTTAAAGGGAATATCAAACATATAGGCGCAGGTATGATTTTAAGAATGTTGATTATATTTCCCTTTTTGATACGATGAATTTATTTCCGACACTTTTTATACCATAAAAGGGACATAATAAGAGACAAATGAAATTTATGAATCATCGCGGCTTGTTTTTTTTAAGAAAGAAAACATTCAATTCAAACTAAAGGGTGTTGGTGACAATTAATTTCATTTCAGTATTTAATCATTAGGAATGTATTTTTTTTAAAGCAAAAAGCCAACAGGTCAAAATATTATCAAACTGCAAACTAAACTAAAAAAACATAATAAGAGTCAAGGGTATAATAAAAATAATAATAATATAATAAGGGTATAAAAATGTGTAAGTGTTTGGAAATCAAGTGATAAAACTCATGTTTTATGTTTGATATGAATGAATTTACAATTTTAAATACTAAATTTCTACCCCGGTTCTAATGGAGGTATATATATCAGGGCACTCGTTTGGTCATTTTTGGGGCCGAATATCGGCCCCATTCCCCTCTCAAAATCATATGCTTTTTCCCCCTATTTCAGTAGAAAATTCCCCTCAAAAAAATTGTAGTGTAAATGTTTGATATATAACAAAAAAGTGATGTTTTGATTTCATAAAAATAAAAGATATTTCTGTTTAACTTTCAATGGATACAGTTGTCAACAACGCTGTAAAAACCGAAAGTAGCAGGAAGTGAGAAATGTACAAGGGAGGTAACTCTCGTAAAATAATTGACAAAATTAATGTGGCAGATAATCATCGTAGGAGTTTATCTTTTATTCAATTTGTTTAGAGAATAGACATACATTGTCATATTCTACTAGTAAATAAACAAAACTATTTTAATTTCTGTCAGTTGTTGTTGGAAAAAACGTATTTCTCTTGCAGTTTTGTACTCAAATATTTTCGTACCAAATATTTTCGTACCCAGTTTTACAGTTACAGAAATTTTCTCTGAAACCAAATCCTTTTTTAGAAAAGGCATAAAACTTTCTTGTTTATTTTTATTTAATTCTTATTTCAATTCTCATTGTTATAATTGTTTCAATCTAAAGAACAGGCAGAAATATGTAGAAAATAGATTAAGAACTGACCAGTGCAGATTGCAAAATAGTGTGATACAGTTTTAACTTTAAAAATAAAGAAAAAAATAATGACTGTAATAGGAAATAATTTGCTGTGTTTCCATAACTTGGGTACAACATACCCTTGCCTAGGAAAGTCTGCCTTTCCAGAGCTTGTTGCACTGATTCAATTTTTGTTGTACAAGTTTTTTTTAAAAAAAAAACAACAACAACAAAAACAACTGTCAGTTTTAATTTTGTATCATAAACAAAAATGCATTATGCTTGTTATAGATTTTAAAATAACCCTAACGTTTTTCCGTATTTTGCATTTTACCCCTCAGCATAAAACCCTTGGCCAAAAACATATATCTGGAGCTCTGATTGATGTCTGAGTCAGTCAAGTGCAATAAGAAAGCAATAAAGAAAACAATGAGAAAAACTTCATGTTATATGTTTTATTTGTTAGGTCTATAGTAATAAATATACTAGCTATTGTAAGTAATGGTAGGAAATTGTGCCAAGAGTTAATGTAAAACCTAATTTTAAAGAACTCATATATGGCTTAAAATTCCCCTTTTTGTCTTAAAATGACGCAAAATTCCCCTTCCTGAGGGTATGGGTACCTGTCCCCAAAAGTTGTCTAGTGCCCTGTATATATATATGAGTCGTGTCATGACAAAACCCTGGTAATGCGTTTGCAACCAGCATGGATCCAGACCAGCCTGCGCATCAGCGCAGTCTGATCAGGATCCATGCTGTTCGCTTACAAACCCTATTACAAGTAGAGAAATTGATGGCGAACAGCATGGATTCTGATCATACTGCGCGGAGGCGCAGGCTGGTCTTGATCCATGCTGGTCGCAAACCCACTATATTGGTTTTGTCATGACGCGGCTCACATATTAATACTATGTAATGAGAAGTAGTTTCTGTGGATAATAAGATTTATACTAGTCAAAATCATGTAATTTTCGTACACCTGACAAAAGCTTTATTTTTTACATTTAAATCAGCACGAATATGGAGACATGCTACTTTTACATTGTCTATTCTAGGAGTGGCGATGGGGGGGGGGGGGATTCACCCCTATTTTTGAGAATTCACCCCTGTTTTTTGAGAGTGAGGGGGAAAATTTTACATAGACAAAGAAGAAAAAAGATCAACAAATGTAATAAATTCTCACTTTTTGATAAAAATCCCCCCTGTTTTTCGAATCCTAGAATAAACACTGACTTTAATACTTTCTTGAAGTATCTATCATACAAAATTGAGAGTTTTCAGTAGGGTAATCTCAAAAATGGCAGTAGTTGGTACCTCATTTTCTTACAGAACTTACCCATACAACCAGTGCTTTCTAAAATTACCCAGTTCCATGTGATAATGGTCTGTTCTGTTGGCTGTTCAGACATGCAATAGTTTTAAAAATTTCCCTAAAAAATTATGAATGGTTTTGACCAGATTGAAAAATGGAAAATTCTGTTTAAGATACTTAGCTAGGTAAGGGACTGTAATATCATTGGTTTGATATTTTGAATGTTATTGATATGTTCCTTTTACTATTTGAAGCATTTCTTCTTCTTGTAATTTAACACCTGTACCACAAATTATGTACTTCAATTGGTATTGGAATGATAGTGCTGTGGCTCTTCTGTGTTTGAAGTCAAATGTGATACTAGTTTTTTTTTCGCTATCGTTGACCATGTTTAATTTCAATTACGCAGTCAGAAAAGGAAAAATAAACTTAAACTTTGCTATCCGGGGTAAAAACTTCCTGTATCTGTATGTCTGTCAGCAAAAACATTAAAAATAATTACCTTTATGTGATTTATATTAATGCATCAGACTTACTTTGGCTTTACTGTGTGACATTATCATTCTGATTTACGAAAATAACGATAAAATCCTGAAGCTGTCCATCTAGTTATAGAAGTTTGTTGTCCATCTAGTTATAGAAGTTTGTTGTCCATCTAGTCATAGAAGATTGTTGTCCATCTAGTTATAGAAGTCTGTTGTCCATCTAGTTATAGAAGTCTGTTGTCCATCTTTTTATAGAAGTTTTTTGCCCATCAAGTTATAATAATTTGTTATCTATTTAATATAGAAGTCTATTGTCCATCTAGTTATAGAACTAGAAGTTTGTTGTCAATTTAGTTATAGCTTTATGTAGTTGCTTGCAAGGGCCTCTTAAGATGAGACTGAGTGATTCAGGTGACTGACTAAAAGACACTAGCCCTGTCTTCACTATAGGTTCAAATCCCTGCAGGCACTATGAATTCTCTCATGTGAGGAAGCTTCTTCTGGCATACTATAAAAAAGGTCAACGCCCATCCCTAAAAAAGAATTAGAATAAGATGCTTAAATCAACCCACCAGTCCACCAATTTTTACCCTGCCGTTTTAATTGTTCAATTTTGTTTTTTTCATCATGCATGTAGTTCTAACTATTACTTAAGCCTTTATTACATTAAATACATGTACAGTACATGTACAGTACAAGATTTATATGAAGACATCTTTTGTATAAATATATCATCTATTTATGTGGCGATCAAGCCATAATTAATTCTAACTTTACAATGTTACAATATTAACAAAAGCTGTGTGTAAACTATAGCAGATCGCCATTGTAATTGTTTTTACCCGTATTTTGTCGCGATACAATAGAATCAAAACATTCGATACTTCGTCTATTATTATGGTTTAATTAGCTTTGGTAATTACGACTTGTTTATCTCTGATCGAGGAATACCCACGAACAATGGAGAATACACATTTTCAACACGATACCATTGTATCGTATTCCGTTGAACGTATACTTTTGACAGCATGATCGGGGCATGTTTTCAAGCTATTTGTAATTTACGTTTTTTTAAATGATTGCGGGAAAATTGTAGTACTGCTGTCCGATAGTGAAATAAATTCTATGTCATTTAGTCAATATTGTTAATAGTGGTTGAAATTTTTTTTTCTTTTTTTTTTTTTTTAAATATACTGAGAAGACATACATCTTTTTTTTATCTTTTGAACTTTTGGTTCAAAATTATTTTATTTCTTTTTTTTATTTTTTGAACTTTTGGTTCAAAATTATTTTTTTTTCTAAAGCTAAGAAATATAATTGCTTGAAAGTATTTCTCGCTCAGAAGTAGGATAATTTTTATTGTGAATCAACATTATATACCAAGTTGAGTTTAGCCTAGGTTTGGAAAGTTTAAATGGTCGTAGACTGTACGTGTGTGACATATTGGGAACCTGCTGTGTCTGCAGGGCAGAACTAGAATTGTTTTCATGTTCGTACCTCACAGTATGGGCCATTAGCTATTGAAATTTTGGCAGTTTGATG